TACCTTGTGGATGCCGAGCTTGACGGGGACCTAGGCGACGCCGAGCTTGACGGAACCCTAGCAGACATCGAGCTTGACGGAACCCTAGCCGACGAGACACAGACCACTTGCAAAATAAACACCCAACGCGACGAGGTCAGCCATATCTGATGCAATGGCGCAGATGAATAGGGAGCAGAGAGGTCCGCCGGTTGCTTACGAGGGCGGCAGTCTCTTGCGGAGTAGGATCCCGACGGAGGAAGCAGATGAAGCAACGACCGCAAACGAAGGAAAAGGGGATCCATGCGAGGGAGGAAGGGAAACTTGGCTTGTCTGTCGACGAACGAGTCGGGCAAGGGAGGAAAGGGGACAGGGAAGAGCAAATAAAAAGGCCGTCCCACTCGAGTCGAGGGGGTGTGCGGCGCCTTGACATTTTGATGCAAAACGCGCCAAATAGGATTTTCCGATAATTCCCATGCCCACGTGTCTAGGGTTACACTGCGCGGGCCTGACTCCATAAAAACGATCTATTTGAGCGTTTTTCTAGATGCAGGCCCAGAGATGCTTTAATCTTCGTGCTATGTAGTCTCAACATTGAATACGAGTAACCAAACACACCTTATTTTTCCACGCGGGGCTGACTCACCTATATGCAGGTACCAAACGTGTCTCGAGTATACCTGGCCATGGGAAGCCCGGCCCGGTCAGCCCGACCCGACCCGGCCCGAAAAAGCCCGACCCTGCCCGGCCCGACGCTGCTCCCGGGCCGGGCTTGGGCCTAGATTTTGAGCCCGATGACCGGGCCGGGCCGGGCCCGTCGTTTTTGCACTTTTCTAAAGGTCGGGCCGGGCCGACCTGGAGCCCGACGGGCTTTGACGTGTTCGGGCTGGGCTCGGGCTCAGAAAACAGGCCCGATGGCCGGGCCGGGCCGGGCCCGGGCCTGGGTTTTTTGCGTCAGGCTTGGCTAGGCCCGGCCCGGCCCGAGGTATGGCCAGGTATAGAGGGTGCTTGGATACGTTTTAGTCCCATGACTAAAAGTAGTGGGACTAAAACTTGCTAGCCTCACCTATGCTTGGATCCAAATACTAAAGAGACTAAAATCAAGTTATTAAGCATTTATTATCCTCCAAACCCTCCAATCAAGAACTCATGTGTGTTAAAGAAGAGACATTAAATGAGGAGAGAGAGGGCTAATACATATTTTAGTAGGTTTTCTATGACTAATTTTTTTTAGTTTTAAGACTAATCCTAACTTCTCTTTAGTCAGGAGTGCTTGGAACTTTAGCCTCCTATCAAGTACCCTCATAGTCCCGAGGAGTTTGCGCACCTCCCCGTACCTGCGTACCCATGCGAAAGACCAGCACGTTACAATCGCACAACTTCCAAGTTCCAACTTTGGTTCCTTCTTCGTTCCTCATGCCCTGTTTGCCTATCGCCGAGCCCAGAACCCTAATCTGAGATCGCGAACCATCCTCTCCCGATGTCAGACGTCACCGCCGAGTCCACGCCGCGCCAGCGCCTGCCTACGCCGTCGCCATCACTATCCCAGCAGCAGTCTCGCGGTCGTCAGCCGCCCCCTCCCGGCTCCGACCCCCTCGCTCTCGGCGTCGTCATCTTCATCGCCGTCTGCTTCCTCCTGGTGACCCACAAGTCCTCCCCGCTTTCCTTAAACATATCTGATGGTAGAGTGGATTAATGTTCAGTCGCGGTGTGTGTGTATTTGTGTGTGCGCGCGCACTGGGGTTTTGGACTTCTGGTAAGTATGTGTTGGTCCGGTCCTTCCTTGCGAGGTTTGGCTGGTTGGGCATCGGTAGGTTGCTATTTTGTTGCGGGTTTAGGTTTAGTATAGTACATTAGGTCTGCTGGTGCCGACTTGGTTCCCTTGTGGGTCTTGTGGGCTGATGATACTGTGTAAAAAATGATTTGACGTTTGTGCTGGATGTAAGGGATTGGATTTGGTACATATGCGATGCTTATATAGAATCCTATAACCCGTTTGCTAAGACAGTTGGATGTTTGTTCGTCTTGTTTGGAGATTGCTGATTGTTAGAGCAGCTTTCTAAATTTTATTTCACCATGTAAGCTGGTAGGTATGCAATTAAAAGAGTGAAATGTTGTTCATTTTCTCCTCTTCCCTCCCCTGTTGCTGTTGCTTCTGTAAGATACACATGTTCTTCCTTTTTTTATGTGATATATATGAGAGGATTACAAGTACTAAAGACAGTTCCGTTTGCTTACTATTGGGTTTACCAACCATTCGATCAACTAGTCACATTGAACAATTGCACCATCCTTCTTCTAATGTCCTAACAACATGAGTGACACTCAGTCTTAGTACACGGGGGTAGCTAGATTGTTACATCTCTTTCTAAGCAGATTATAGCCTTAGGGTTATATTCCCTAATCAGTTGCTAATCATTTAATGTGGAAGAAACCTGTTTAGCTATTCTAGTTTTGAACGCTAAAACAATTCTCTTGATCATCTATGTCGCTCTAAGCACCTTTCTTCTACTCAATACAAAATTTATTTGAGGGATAGTTGGTAGGTCGCTAATGCAAAACCTAAGTCAGCTATGGAGTTCATTGCAGATTGTACAACCATAAGGTAGTGTATCTTGTGAAACTTCAAATTGGTGTGAAGTCCGTTAAAATCATGCATATAAGTCTTTGGAAGTTCCAAATAATAATGAGACATAGGGCTACATCCCTGCAAAGTTTTTGGATTTGACCGAACTGCGGTCACTAGACACATGAAAGACAAATAATCACTGAATTGTGTTTCCACTATTTGGCGAAGTATTGCCTTTTCGGTATCTGGCAGACTGATTGATTTGTATCTGACATAGAAAATACCACCTCCAACATTTGCCATTTTCTTTCAGATTGTTTAGAAACCTCTTGGTTAATCGAAAACGAGGATTTCCAGCAAACACTCATTATCACATGATATTTTGACAAGGGTGTATATAGAGTTAATACTTTTTCTAATTAAACTTTAATTTGTCCAACACATAAACAACAACAACAACAACAACAACAACAACAACAACAACAACAACAACAACAACAACAACAACAACAACAACAACAAAGCCTTTAGTCCCAAACAAGTTGGGGTAAGCTAGAGGTGAAACCCATATGATCTCACGATCAACTCATGGTTCTGGCACATGGATAGCAAGCTTCCACGCACCCCTGTCCATAGCTAGTTCTTTGGTGATACTCCAATCCTTCAGATCTCTCTTTACGGACTCCTCCCATGTCAAATTCGCTCTACCCCGACCTCTCTTGACATTATCCGCGCGCTTTAGCCGTCCGCTATGCACTGGAGCTTCTGGAGGCCTGCGCTGAATATGCCCAAACCATCTCAGACGATGTTGGACAAGCTTCTCTTCAATTGGTGCTACCCCAACTCTATCTCGTATGTCATCATTCCGGACTCGATCCTTCCTCGTGTGGTCACACATTCACCTTAACATGCGCATCTCCGGCACACCTAACTGTTGAACATGTCGCCTTTTAGTCGGACAACACTCAGCTCCATACAACATTGCGGGTTGAATCGTCGTCCTGTAGAACTTGCCTTTTAACTTTTGTGGCACTCTATTGTCACAAAAAATGCCAGAAGCTTGGCGCCACTTCATCCATCCGGCTTTGATGCGATGGTTCACATCTTCAACAATTCCCCCATCTTTCTGCAGCATTGACCCCAAATATCGAAAGGTGTCCTTCTGGGCACCATCTGCCCATCAAGGCTAACCTCCTCCTCACGCCTAGTAGTACTGAACCCGCACCTCATGTACTCGGTTTTCGTTCTACTAAGCCTAAAACCTTTTGATTCCAAGGTTTGTCTCCATAACTCTAACTTCCTATTGACCCCGTCCGACTATCGTCAACTAGCACCACATCATCCGCAAAGAGCATACACCATGGGATGTCTCTTTGTATACCCTTGTGACCTCATCCATCACCAAGGCAAAAAGATAAGGGCTCAAAGTTGACCCCTGATTCAGTCCTATCTTAATCGGGAAGTCATCAGTGTTGACATCACTTGTTCGGACACTTGTCACAACATTATCATACAAGTCCTTGATGAGGGTAATGTACTTCGCTGGGACTTTGTGTTTCTCCAAGGCCCACCACAGGACATTCCGCGGTATCTTATCATAGGCCTTCTCCAAGTCAATGAACACCATATGCAAGTCCTTTTGCTCCCTGTATCTCCCATAAGTTGTCATACCAAGAAAATGGCTTCCATGATTGTCCTCCCAGGCATGAAACCAAATTGAGTTTTGGTCACGCATGTCGTTCTTCTTAAGCGGTGCTCAATGACTCTCTCCCATAGCTTCGTTGTATGGCTCATCAGCTTACAGTAATTAGTACAACTTTGAACATCCCCCTTGTTCTTGAAGATTGGTACTAATATACTCCGTCTCCATTCTTCTGGCATCTTGTTTGCCCGAAAAATGAGGTGAAAAGCTTGGTTAGCCATACTATCGCTATGTCCCCGAGGCCTTTCCACACCTCAATGGGGATACAATCAAGGCCCATCGCCTTGCCTCCTTTCATCTATTTAAAGCCTCCTTCACCTCAGACTCCTGCATTCTCCGCACAAAGCGCCAGCTGGTCTCATCAAAGGAGTCGTCCAGTTCAGTGGTAGAACTCTCATTCTCCCCATTGAATAGCTTGTCAAAGTACTCCCGCCATCTATGCTTAATGTCCTCATCCTTCACTAGGAGTTGGTCTGCTCCGTCCTTGATGCATTTGACTTGGCCAACATCCCTCGTCTTCCTCTCTCGGATCTTGGCCATCTTATAGATGTCCCTTTCGCCTTCCTTTGTACCTAACCGTTGGTAGAGGTCCTCATACGCCTGACCCCTTGCTTCACTGACAGCTTGCTTTGCGGCCTTCTTCGCCATCTTGTACTTCTCTATGTTGTCTACACTCCTATCCAGGTATAGGTGTCTGAAACAATCTTTCTTATCCTTAAGCGCCTTCTGGACATCATCGTTCCACCACCAGGTGCCCTTAGCTTCGCTTCTCCTTCCCCTGGACACTCCAAACTCCTCTGAGGCCACCTTATGAATGCATGTCGCCATCTTCATCCACACATTGTTTGCATCCCCTCCTTCCTCCCAAGGGCCCTCCTTAATGACCCTCTCCTTGAATGCTTGAGCTACCTCCCCCTACTTCGTTCTAGCAACACTCTCTCCAGGTTTCAACTTATAATCTAGGCACGCACGCCTATTTTCTCTTCTCGAGAGGATGAAATCAATCTGGCTAGAGTGCTGACCACTACTAAAAGTCACCAGATGTGATTCTCTCTTTTTGAAGAGGGTGTTAGCTACGATCATGTCGTAGGCTAGAGCAAAGCTTAAGACATCTCCTTGATTCTTGATGCCATAGCCAAAGCCCCCATGCACTCCTTCAAAACCTGTGTTAGATGTACCCACGTGGCCATTGAGGTCTCCTCCTATGCAGAGCTTCTCACCAATCGGTACACTCCTAACTATGTCCTCCAGGCCTTCCCAGAACTCCCCCTCGGTGTTCTCATTGTGGTCTTCTGGCGGGGCATACACGCTGATAACATGGAGAACTAAGTCCCCTACTACCTGCTTGACCAGGATAATCCGGTCACCACGTCTCTCGACGTCTACCACTCCATACTTGAGTCTCTTGTTGATCAAGATGCCTATGCCATTTCTGTTTGCAGCCGTCCCTGTGTACCACAGCTTGAAGCCGGCATCCTCCACCTCCTTCGACTTCTGTCCCCTCCATTTGGTTTCTTGGACGCAAAGGCTATCAACACCTCTCCTCACCGCTGCATCAACTATCTCCCGAAGCTTTCCTATTCAGAGACCCTACGTTTCAGCTACCTAAGCGGATCCTCTTAGGCTCGGCCAGCTTCCTTACTCTTCGCACTCGTCGAGTCAAATGCGGAGACCCTTGCTGATTTTCCACTACATCTGGGCGCCGATGTAGCGCGCCACTAAGGATGCGAAGAAC